GTGGCCGAAGATGAACAACAAAGGGCAATTACCGGTGAAAGAAGGCCAACCATAGATGCAGCAGCGTTTCAAGCGTTTGTGCCAAAGAAGAAAGACCACAATCCATCACAAAGCAAGTTCACCAAAAGGAACGAAAAACGTAACGACGACGAACAACTCAAATACTGTGATCTTTGTAAAAAACATGGCCATGTTAAAGAAGGTTGTTTCAAGATAATAGGATACCCGGAATGGTGGCCGGGTAAAGCAAAGCAAGAAAAGCCGAAATCCAAGGCAGCTTGTGTCGAAGGGGAGACGAGCAAGATGCCGGAATTAACGGACGATCAATATCAACAGGTCATGAAGCTTTTTGGTGAGAAACTAAATGCAACTAAAGAACAGGAGCCTCCCATAGCCAACATGGCAGGTAACATTAATCATAAAGGTAAGTGGGTTGTTGATTCGGGTGCCACCGAACACATCATTTGTAATGATACCATGCTCGAAAACAAAACAAAGAAACACTATGAAGCACCGGTTGTGATGCCAAATGGCGATGCTATAGCTGTTAAGGGTAGAGGAGATTTTGTGTTACCCAACGGCCTAAAAATAAAAGACGTGCTTCACATACCCGATTTTAAATGCAATCTCTTATCCGTTAGTAAACTAACAAAGGATATCAAATGTGCTGTCACTTTCTTTCCTGATTTTTTCATTATGCAGGACTTGAGTTCGAGGACCTTGATTGGAATGGGTGATTGCAAGAACGGTCTATACAGGATGGGGATGACGGGAGAAAAGAGAAAAGCTATGGTAACAACGGTTGATTTATGGCATAATAGATTAGGTCATGCTTCGAATTCCAAACTTATTCATGTTGATTTCCTTAAGAACGCTCGTTTGAACCAAACATTATTTTGTGATTCTTGTGTTAAGGCTAAGTTTACCAGACTGCCGTTTCCTATTAGTACCACTAAAACCAATGCTTGCTTTGATTTATTACATTGTGATGTGTGGGGGAAATATCGAACGCTTTCTTTTTCTCGGGCAAGCTATTTTTTGACAATCGTCGATGACTTTAGTAGGGCGGTTTGGGTTTTTTTTTACTGAAACACAAGTATGAAGCGAGCACTTGTCTCATTGCCTTTCACAAAATGATACAAGTGCAATTTGAGAAAAACATAAAGAGAATCCGATGTGACAATGGGGGGGGGGAGTTCACATCTACTCAAATGCTTAATTTTTATGCAAAGGAAGGGATTGTTTTAGAAACAACGTGTCCACACACGCCGCAACAAAATGGTGTGGTCGAACGGAAACACCGACATCTTTTGGAAATTGCACGGGCTTTAAGATTCAAATCCAACCTTCCTACGAGGTTTTGGGGCGAATGCATCCTTACCGCCACATACATCATAAACCGTCTACCATCGGAAGTTATTGACAACAAGACTCTTTATGAGGTTCTATACAACCAACAACCCGATTACGCACATATGCGAGTTTTTGGTTGTCTAACATATTATAAGAGCACCGAAACTCTTGGTGACAAATTTGTTGAAAGGGGTAAACCGGGCATTTTTGTGGGGTATCCACCGGGCACAAAAGGGTATAAAATATTTACGGCCAAACAAAACAAAATTATTATTTCAAGGGATGTCAAATTTGTTGAAAATGTTTTTCCTTTCAAACATGCCACTTTTGAAAAGGAGGAAATCTTCATACCTCCAAAGTGGTGGGATGATGAGCACGAAACACAAAAGGAAGAGAATGGGCCAACTGTTTCGTCTGGGCCACATGAAGCCGATCAACATGGGCTCTCTGACTCACCAACCGGCCTAGATAACCAGCACCTTCAACCCAGCTCAACCGCCAGCATCGAAGAACAAAATAACTCGCAATCTTCCGAACCAATGGACCAAGCCGGCACCCACCATGAACAAACTACCGATCCAGAAAACATTCATGAAGTGTTCGAAACTGTTGAACCACCAATGRCGAAGAGAAGCAGATCTCGGCCCAAACATCTTGATGATTATGAAGTCCGTCTCCCCCCATCCATTGACCACGAGCAATCGACCTCCAATCCAGGATCCTCAACGGTACATCCTCTCGCACATTTTATTTCCTATGATAAGTTTACTAACAATCATAAAGCTTTTTTGGCGGCCATTACCTCAAATTATGAGCCAAAATGCTTTAGTCAGGCAGTGAGGGATCCAAAATGGGTAGAGGCCATGAAGAAGGAAATTCAAGCGCTTRAAGACAATGGAACTTGGGTCCTCGAAGAACTTCCAAAGGGAAAGCGTGCTATCGACTCGAAATGGGTATACAAGATAAAGTACAAACCCAATGGAGAAATTGAAAGGTACAAAGCAYGTCTCGTGGCAWAAGGCTTCACACAAACTGAAGGCATTGATTTTCATGAGACTTTTGCACCGGTGGCAAAACTTGTCACGGTCCGAAGTTTGTTAGCCGTAGCGGTTAAGAAAGGATGGCATATTCACCAACTTGACGTTAACAACGCCTTCCTCCATGGAGACCTTCATGAGGACGTATACATGAAGATTMCACAAGGTTTTGTGAAACAAAATGATAATCGKGTTTGCAAACTCAAGAAGTCGCTTTATGGACTTAAACAAGCATCAAGGAATTGGTATCAAAAGTTTACCAAATCCTTACTTGACATCGGTTTCCAACAAACAGGGGCGGATCACTCCTTGTTTCTCTTCAAGACAAAAGACGTGTTCATGGCTGCACTCATTTACGTTGACGATGTTATACTTGTTGGGAACAATTTACAAAAGATGCAAAACATCAAGACCTTCCTAGACAAACGGTTTAGCATCAAAGATCTAGGAGTCTTGAAATTCTTCCTGGGCATCGAGGTCGCTCGCACCAAAGAAGGACTCGTGCTTAGCCAACGYAAGTACATTTTAGACATTTTGAAAGACGCGGGAATGACAGGTTGTCGTCCAAGTCAATTTCCAWTGGAACAAAACTTGAAGTTGGATAAATGTGATAAAGAAGCTCAAGTCGATGCGAACCAATACCGCCGATTAATTGGGAGACTCCTTTACCTCCAGGCCACTAGACCCGATGTTGCATATGTCRTAAATATTTTAAGCCAATTTGTCGGTGATCCAAGGGAAAGTCATTTAGAGGCTGCCAATCGTGTCCTTCGTTACCTCAAAGGCAC